ACAGAACCACAAGCCCATGTTCTTCAACAACCAAATCATGGCATTGCTAGCTGCATTGCGAGTTATCCCGCATGAATCAAAAAAATATTATATGCGCCGTTTGTATCATCCTTTGCATTTGCCCTTGCACTCGAAGTGGTGCAATCACGCATAAACGACACCATTGGAGTCTTAGCCAGAACATCATACCTAATTCTTCCTACACTTTCGATACTCGACAAGCAAGCGGTGAACTGTTCTCAACTGAGTAAGCACCAACTCATTCCAGATGAATCATATCTGACACTCCATTTTGCTCTTGGGACAATGTGAAACTTTTCTCTTGAGACACCCAAGCATGCCCTTCATTGCCTAATACTTGAGCGCAAACCCCAGCCAATATAACTTGCTGGGAAGGGGAAAGAGAAGGGACACGACTGCGAAATAATCCCACCAAACAGTGCCTTCCCATCCACATACGGGCCATACTCCTGTACCAGTGAATCTTTCATGGTCCTCCGGACCAACTAACTAGATTATGTTGCATGCCTCAGAGCAATTTGGGAAAAATTATGATCAACGAGCACTGTGGAAGAGAAACTTTACATTCCTAAGTTCATGCAGACAGTTATGCTGATCTTTTTCTACATGCCAGTGATTATAGCTTAACATTCCACATTTATGGAGTTCTCTGCGGAATTGATGCTTGCCTTTATGTTCCCATAACCTGCTGGATCATTTAATTTTCACCTTCACCACCACCCCAAATCGTCCGTTTGCACTCTGCGTCTCCCTTCACACCACCCATACATGAGCCTCACTTCCCCGACTCTCAACTTTTGCCCACCCTTGAACTGCCAAACACCTTGCAAGGGTCGGGCCCGCTGGTGGCATCCATATGTAACGTATAAACCTTATTCGTGCAAAAGAAGCTCTGAGTCTTTTGACCGACAAAACACTTCGTCAAATTCGTTTTGATTATTTAGTGTGCTTCCCTTACCCAGAGCCATGTACCCTACAGCCCTGATACCCCCTGATACCCAGACACTGTCATGAATGGTACACACACGTAACTGTTGACAAACAGATCAGGAGTTCGGATCCTGATGTAATCAGAGTATTACCAGACTGATGCTCTACAGCTACACCTTTTCTCGTATGGCCGAAGTGGGGACATCCAAGTTTTTGCCCCCGCCCTGGGGCCACCAAACTCGACTAGGCAAATCTTTCCGTGGCACCCGCGTTTACAAGCACTTTCTCGGTGATAGCTGGACAACGTAGTCGGATACATAACCAGCCAGATGTTCGGAGCGGGTGTGGACTGACTGGATCCAGACGTCCGAGTCCATTGTCCTGTCTAACACATCCAGATTGGCCCTCCTACCCACCAGTTTTGGAAAAAAAGGGGACGCCCAGGATGATGTTTGGGACCCGATGCCCTATATTGCAAATGCTGGGATGGTTTTTGGTACCTGATACGACCTTCTGGACCTGACCGGACCGCGCCAATTTTTCCTACTTTGTCGAATTTCGAGGAAGGAGGATGGATTCCTCTTTTTGAATTTGCCTGCCTGCATGAGTTGCTGCAGCTGCCGCCCGCATCTCTCTCTCTCTCTCTCTCTCTCTCTCTCTCTCTCTCTCTCTCTCTCTCTCTCCCTCTCTCTCTCCGAGTGGAGCATCTCTTTGTGTTTGTTTCTCTCCCCCATAACTGCTATGCACGTGAAAAGCACACGGTTTCTTTGTCTCAATAGGGCTGGATCTCCCAGCCACAATGGGGAGAAGCACACGTTTTTGTTTACCTCGAACGGACTGCTACTACTCCGATTGGAAGGACAACTGCTTCTGGTACAAGGAAACAAAAAGGAGGTTGGAACTTCAGCCACAATGGTGCAAGGAGACGGGAGAGCCATTTTCCTCTGCACCTACTGCAAAAGTTACTTGTGGTGCATTATCCTGTTCTCCTGCAAAAGTTACTTGTGCTGATTCTCTGCGTGTGCCTCTGCAGCAACGTTACTTTCCCAAAAAAAGAAAAGAATTTGAGCAGACTGGTCAATGGGTTGATCACTGCCTGATTGGTGGCCGTAGGGGGCATGTGCACAGACACCATGCTTTACTTATTCATTTATTTTTTGGATCACAGGAAATGGGGCAAGTTCACAAATGGTGCACCCTGTTGATCCTCGTGCTACCCTCCAGTCAAGTGTGATAGCGAGATCCTCTGTACTCGGGATTTGCCTGATTCCCTCGTCTAGAAAATAGGAGAAGTGCCAAATCTGGTGTGCTCGTGAGTATGGAAAAGTTCCAAAGGCGAGCCGGTCATGTCTGGGAAGGTGCATCTAAGCAAGAACAAGCTGGAACTACATAGGCCAGTGGTGTCCACACTCGTGAAAAATGTGGGAATCACAGTTGAGTTACTACGTTTGCGGACATAGTTTGATCTTTCTCATGCAAGGGAAAGCAGTTGAGGTTTCCTGGTCAATGATGCCTTTGAAATGACACTAAGGGTGTACTACCTAGAGGTAGCTAAGTCGGTGATCATATCGGATGAGAAGGCTGTGAGGTAGCTGAGTCACCGATCAAGTGGGATGAGAAGACTCCGAAATACAAGCCACCTGATAGGAGATGGTTGATGTGCAAGAGGTGCCAACCTCATCACCTCAATCAATCCTATGGATGCTTGCAGTTCGTTATACACCAAATCTATATTTTCAAGAAGTATAATAGACTCCATAACTATCGATTAAAACTCAAAATGCTGTCTTTGTATGATTTCTTCATTCCTACATGGAGGCTTCCAGGAGTCAGAACTGTTGAGCCTCTACCAGGCAGTTACTGGAAGCACAACCAGAAGGGAGGTACGCACCTTATTACTGTATCTCAGAAAGGAAAGTTTGTGGAGAATCTGAAAGAGTAGAGGAACTCATCACTGAGTTTGCAGACCCTCAGAGGGAACCAGTAGGAGTCGTAAGCAAGGAGATACAATACACCATAGAGATAGTCCCAGGGAGTAAGATCTATAGGATGCCTCTGGCGGAGCTTTGGGAACAGCTCAGGAACTCGCCCACAAGGGCTGGATTAGGCCAAGCACCTTGCCGTACAGGTCACCTGTGTTGTTTGAGCCCAAAGAGGGGGTGCCTTGTTGATGTACACGGAAGACAGGGACCTCAACACCATCACTGTTCGCAATGGTAAGCCCTTACCACCGATAGATGACCTCACTGATACGCTGCAGGGATGCAAGTACTTCAGCAAGACACGTCTGAAGTTTGGCTGTCACCTGATACAGCTAAGACCCGAGGATCAGCAGAGAACTACATTTCAGACACAGTATGCAACGTATGGAATTGTGGTGATGCTTTGGGCTCTGTAATGTACCCAATACAATCCAGCATACCATGAACCACATGTTTCACAACTACTTGGATCTTTTTGCCCACTTAGACCACATTGTTGTCTTTAGGAGTCTAAAGGAGCACAAGGAGTGCTTGGCACCGACAACACCAGTACAAGATCAATGCTTCCAAATCTGAATTTTCTTCACTAAGGTCCTGTACATCGTTCATGAAAATATCACGGGATGAAAGTTCCGGGCCTGGCTTGACTAGATGATACAGCTTGGGAATGGACTGACGAGTGTAGGCAAGCCTTCAAGCAATTGAAGACTGCTGTCATTAAGCCACAACAACTACATCCAAAGTCCTTTTCCCCAAACTTCCTGTACTTCATTCATGAAAATATCACGGGATGAAAGTTGCGGGCCCGGCTTGACTAGATGATACACCTTGGGAATGGACTGACGAGTGTAAACAAGCGTTCAAGCAAATGACGATTGCTGTCATTAAGCCACAACAAGCCAGCACTTACCAGCACCCTCTCGATCCTCCGTTCCAGACCTCATCCCACTCAATAAGAGGTGTGGTGACAAACCATGAAAAATAAGTGAGTCCTGACCTCTCACGGACTTCCAAATGGCTGTACAGGGAAAAGAATGCGGGTAACAAAGGCGCTCATCCAAAAAGCAACAGCAGAAAAAGAAGGAAAAAAAAGGGCGCAGTCAAGGGGCCATGTAAAGCCGCCACAAAAGCAATACAGAAAAAAGAGGGGGAGGGGGAACAAGAAAAAGGAGCGGCCATGGAAATCAGCCATCATAGCAACAGTACAAAACAAGACAGAAAAAGAATACAACTTCCACTGAGGTGTACATCGCAAATGTATCTGGAAGGTATATGGTCACCATACGTTCAGAAGTTAACTGCACAGAGAAAGGAACATGTCAGGAACATGTCCCTTTCCCCTGAGATGAACAGAGAGGTGAGACAGACAGTGAGGTTAGACAGATAGAGAGGTCCGTTATTTATCCACTGACACTTGAGTCCCGCGCTTAGGACACATTTAATCTCCCATGACATGGACAGAGAAGTGAGATAGACAGAGAGGTTCGACAGATATTTCGCTTCTGATGCTTGATCAAACACATCCCGGTGTTGTGACCAAGTTCATTCACAAGAGTTTTTGTGAGTTAGCATGTTGTTTCTTTTGGTATCTTGCCCATCACCTCACAATTGTCAGAGGCAGTGAGAAACGGCTCTTCCTCTCTCTCACCACTGTCATTCCGTGCTCTATTCTTCTCTTTGTTCTTTTCTTATACTGCTCACAGCTAGTCCTTTTGTGCTTCTTGTTTTTTTCCGGTTCACAACTGCTCGAGCCAAGGCCGTTTTCAAAACTGGTCCTTGCCAATGGCATAAACCCCGTAAGCAGGCACTACTAGGCTTCCTGTTTCCAGACCTGACGGCTGCTTTTATTTGAGTTTGCACTTCAGTGTGAACGGATCCTGCGGACGACAACAGAGCAGCTACGGAATCCTCAGCGAGATATCACAGAGGAAGAGAACAAG